CAGGCGAGACCAGTCCCTGGGGAAGTCCATGCTTGGTAGGGTGGACGGTCAATGAAAAAGAGGAAGGCCTTTGGCGAGCTGGATGAACGCGGCCGCTGAGACAGTGGGCTGAGACATAATGAATGTGAGCACGGTGCTGGACCACGCAGTGTTTTGTTTTGCTGTACCTAGGGTGGCGGACGACCAGTCAGAATGAACTCAAGGGCACCTGTCCTGAGTGAATAGTGATGGGTGTGGCAAAGCCACCCACTGGCGGCATTTCCATGTTAACAGCACTACGGCTTTATTCTGTGCCCTTCTCTTCTTAGCCTCTTGGCATCTCCTTGCCCGCAAACCATGCCCCTTACCATTGAGTCAAACTTTGACGCAGACCAACCCCACAGGACACAGTAGACCTCCTCCGTAGGGTTTCCACCGCTGTCACCTGTTCCGAGGCAGACTGCCTCACCTTTTCCACCCGGAGTGGCTGCGGGCTACGAGTTGTTGACATTTTGGGTAGCAGCCAATCGCTTAACCACTACACTGCCTCAAGGAGTCTACTTTGTTTGTTTGTTTCCCTCCCAAATTCTATTGTGACTTAGGTATGAACTTACACATCTGATCATTGGTTTTGGATTCAACAACTTGAAGCACCTTATCCAACCTCCCACTAGTTGGCCCTGACTCCCCCTGCCCTGCCCGCATCTCCTCTTGTAGTGGAGCAGCTTTCCCTTCAGCTAAGTGGACACCACTCCAGCCTAGTGCGTCCCCTTTCCTTCCGGCCCTTCCCACCCTGAAAACCATGTTTCTTTTGGTGCGAAAACCTTTTTTTTTTTTAAATGTATGGTTTTGTTTTTTTTTTCTTTTTGTAATAATAGTGGGTCTCCTACAGCATTTGGGCCTTTGTTGTGTGATGAACCTGAGAGTCTTTCATAAGCAGGCCGACCCTCGGGCAGACTGCAGATGGCTGAAGGTGTGGAAGAGGTCAGGGCCCTTCAGAGGCACACCTGTGCCTCAGGAGTCAGAGCCCTTTTGTAGAACGAGGACAAGAACGACACCCATCTCCCCCGCTGGTGTGAGGATTGCGCACCGTGGGCCGGGTACCCGGTGAGTGCTCCGCTCACGCTCCTTCTTAGCCTTGCTGTCAGGGTGCCTTCTCCCAGTGGCCTTTGTGGTTCTCGTTGGAGCCGGACTGCTCACCGTAAGCCAAGCCCTACCAGGGGCAGGGGCTCAAGTGGGAAGAGAACGCTTGAAAATGGTGATGGCAACATACGAGCAAATGCGCTCGACACACTGGATGAAATGTATGGATTGTGATAAGAGATGCAAGAGCCCCCAGTAAAAGTATTTGTTAAAAAAAGAAAGAAAGAAAATACCAGGGACCGTGAGGGAGAAAGATGAGGCTTTCTACCCCTGTAAAGAGTTAACGGAGTCCCAGAAACCCACAGGGCAGCTCTCCTCTGTCCTAGAGGGTCGCCATGAGTTGGAATGGACTCGGTGGCAGGGAGTTTGAGCTTCACTGAACACAGGGAGTCCTCATGGTACAATGCGTTAAGTATTGGACTGCTAACTGGAAGATTGGCAGTTCAAACCCACCAGCTGCCCCATGTGAGAAAAATATCAGGGCCTCTCTTTTCCTAAAGATGGACAGGTTTGGGAACTCTTTGGGAGCAGTTGTGCTCTGTCCTGCAATCAGAATGGACTCCACTACAGCTGGTTTGGGTCAGGGCTGGCGGCTGGGGTATTAGTCCGAAGCCCCTGCCGGCTGCTCCATTGGGCCGTCTGCGCCAGGCCTGATGGTCCCTCCTGTCCCCCTCAGGCAGACACTCCCATTCTCCTCTTAGCTGCCCACACCCTGTCCCCCAAAACTAAAAGCCAAACTTGCTGCCATCAAGTTGGTCCCCACCCATAGGGACCCTATAGGACAGTGTCGGTGGCCCCTGTGGGATTCTGAGACTGTCACTCTTTACAGGAGTAAAACACCTTTCCCGTCTCCTGGTATAGCCCACTCTGCCACCAGGGCTCCCATTACACTTCACAACGTGCTTCTAGGACTATAAAAAGCAAGGGGGGCAGTCAGGGCGCAGTGTGGCAACGATGAAACCTACAACTTTGCTCTAGTTCCTAAATGCTTCCTTCCCCCACTACCATGATACCAATTCTACCTTACAAATCCAGCTAGACCAGGGGTTCCTACAGGAACCAGAAACACAGGGAATCCAGGACAGATGATCCTTCCC